GGATGGATGGATGGGTGCTAGTTGGGAGCAGCACCCCCAGATCCCAATACTGGGATGGTGATGGGCTCCAGCTTCCCGCTGGGTATGGATGGATTGGAGGATGCTGGAGCGGGGTATCCTGCTTTTGGGGGCTGTATCCCCATCCCATGGGGCACCATCTGGTGGATTTGGGGTGGCACTTCGGTGGTGTCCCTTCCAGCATCCCTGAAGCCCCCTGGACAGGATTTATGGACGGCGTGTTCCCAGTTTGGTGTAGGGAAGCTCTGGTGGGACACCGTGGGACTTCCACGTCCCCAATTCCTGGAGTTTTATTTCCACCCACAGTGCTATGGAGTTGGATCAGGGCTCTGCCACTCYCTTCCATGCTCCTGTGGGCTGGGAATGGGATATTTGGCCATCTTTGGGTCACTTAGTGGTCATTTAGTGGTGGCCCMCTAAATGGGACTGGTGACAGCCACCCCTATGGACAAGGGACATGGTGGGAAAAGCATTTAATGGCAGCACAGAGGAAACGGTTGGAGAATTCTGGAGGAGATAGCAGGACAATTCCAGGAGATTCAGCCTCTGGAGCAGCGGGACAGGCTCAGTAGGCAGAGCCCTGGATGTCGTCATAGTCRCTGCCCTCGGAAAAGTTGGGATCCTCCACGTGTTCCTCCAAGGGACRGGATGGATCTGACCAGCCTGCGAGACAGACCCTGTCAGGATTTAGGAATTCCCAGGATTCCCCATGTCCCCCTCTCCAGCACAGGATCCTCACCAGGATTTGAGGAGGGGTCTTCGGGGGGCTCCTTGTCCTGCACGTTCTCGTACCACTCCCCYGAGGAGGTGCTGGAGCTGCCRTCGGGATCGGGATCKGSWKSAGCWGCAGGTACCCAGGGCTGGGAGGGCACCRCTGGTGGAGCTGTGAGAAACGGGGTCACTCACTGACTGTCCTCATCCTCCCATTCTGTGGGGTCCCATTTCCTCACTGAGGTTGAATCCATCCCCGTTCCCATCCTTGGGGTCAGCAAATCCCTGCTCCTATCCCTTCTGCATTCCTTGGGGTCCCTGAACCCCCATCCCTGCTGTCTCAACATCCCCATTTCCAGCTCTGGGATCTTCCCATCCCTGCTCCCACACTTCCCACCTGTGCCAGAGCCATGGTCAGTGGCTGCTGCGTTCCAGGCAGGAGGGGGARCGCTGCYRTTCCAGTAGGGCTCTCCGGAYGAGGATGAGGATGAGGATGATCCGGAGGAGCGGCGGAATGGAGGGCCCAGCCTGGCCGGCGCTGCGGGAACAAGGACATCAGGGGTGCAGGGCAGGATATGGGAACCGGGGGTGGCTGTCCCCCCTCTATCATGTCGTACCCTCCTCAGGGAATGGCTCCATCCTGTCCTGGCTGGGTCTCAGCGGGAGCAGATCCTCCCTGGAGTGCCGGCGCAGCGAGTCTGCGGGAAGGGGAGAGCGGAGGGGACATGCGGGGTGACAGGGATCCCAGGATGGGGTGTCAGTGATCCCAGAGGGAAGGGGGTGCTCACTGTAGAAGGTGGAAAGGGCGACGGGAGGCTTGCTGCTGAACTCGTAATATTCCGAGTCGGAATCGGAATCCTTGGAAATCGCTGTGACTGGGGGGTCTGGGGGGTTACAAGGGGGTGTGGTGTCTGTCACCAGCCGGGACCTCCTGCCCCACAGCCCCTGGGGGGACCTGCCAGACCCACCTGATCCTTTGGGATGGCTGGGATGCCCGTAGTCATTGGGGATCCCGGAGGGCGCATCARGGCTTTGGGAATTGTGGGTCAGCAAGACTGGCATGGGTGTTCCCAAGGAGGACATGGCTGTGGGGACAAGAGATGCACCCACTCCATGGCTGAGCTGAGCCCAAAAAGTAGGGGGGCTGTCCCAATTCCACGTTTGGACCCAGCATTCCTCACCAGTYCTCTTCCTCAGCCTCAGCAGGGCGGCAGAAAAGGCCAACATGGAGAGCAGGAGCAGCGCCGCCAGCASCAGGCACAGSRCAAAGAGGGGACTGTCCAGGAGAGRTGTCCCCAAGGCTGGGGTCCCCTCCTCGGCTGGGACAGAGAATGGACACCGCTCATCCACCAGGGAATTTGACTCCGATCCCAAGGAACGGCCGAGGGCTCGGACACTCACCACGCAGGACGGTGACATTCCTGGGTGTCACCTCAGCCTCAGCCGTGGGCGTCGGCGTCTCCAAGCCCTGGGAGCCTGGAAAGGGCAGGGACAGAAATCGGAGAAGATAGGACCACCCTCCACCTCAACTCCCAGCAGGAATGCCCCCCATCCCGTACCATTGCAGATGACCCCGGCAGCCCGGGACTGGTGGCACGGGGCGGATTTATTGAAGGTCCAGTRGCACTGTGCCAGCGAGGGCTGCAGGCTCCCGCACTGGTACAGCATTTTCCCGGGAAGCGTGTGTCCGAAGGACGGCCGCCGCAGCGCCATCCCGCATCCCAGCGCCCGGCACAGCACCGTGGCCTCCAGCTCGTACCAGGTGCTGTCACACACCGTGCTCCAGGTGCCACGGAAAAACACCTCCACCCTGCCGGCACAGCCATCCCGCCCGCCGGACAGCCGCCACTCCTGGTGCTCTGCGGGAAAAGCGCCGAGCTGGGGACGTGCCGGCCGCATCCCCGGCTCCCGAATATTCCAAACCCACCTGAGCACACCACGCCGGCGTCCTCCTTGTGGCTGCAGTCGTGTTCCGTGGTGGCCGGGCACTCCTGGAGGCGCTGCTCATGTCCCTCACACGCCACCTCATCGCGGAGGATGGGACCGTGCCCGCGGCCGAAGGTGGCGTTGCCGTGGGCTCGCACRGCGTGGCCGCACTGGAGTTGCCGGCACACGACGTCGGCGTCGGGAATGTCCCAACCATCGTCACACACCGTCCCCCACGTCCCCTCCTGCTCCAGCTCCACGCGGCCCTCGCAGCGGCTCCGGCCGCCCACGAGACGAAGCGTTCCGGGACCTGGGGGATCCATGGGGAATGGCGAGCTGGTGTTGTCACRGCATCCCAAAAAGTGGGGGTAAGGATGTCCCCACCCTCCTGTACTTACCCAGGGTCACCAAGGCATTCCCGGTCGGAGAATTGGGATGTCCTGTCATTTCCATGGGGGCTGTGGGGTTAAAGGGGCTGAAACCCTCAGGATCCCAAATTTGGGAAGGTGCCTCCCAATCCCACAAAAACATGGCCAAGAGGATTTTCCCAGGTTTGAGTGGCACAGTGGGAATCTCCCCAAGCCCTGGAAACGTAGCCACGGAGCTGTTGCGTCCCAAAAATCAATCCTCATCTGCCCCATAGTGTTCCCCAGAGCTAAATCTTGGTGTGGGGTCTGCTGTGGGGAGAATTTGCCCTTACAAATGGGAATACTGGGACGTGACTTACAGGTGGAAGAGCTGAAATTTGAGATCTCATCCCGCATCCGTGTGGTTCCCGCCTTCCRGTTCATCCCTGTGGACACAGAGGGGCTGGACCTGCCTCTACCAACCTGCCTGCACCCAACCCGGAGCCACAGGCGAGCAGATGATCTGCTTATCCCTAAAAATCCCCATTTGGCTTCTCTGGAGGGAAGGATTCACCCCAGGGAGCACGGCATCCCAGGGGCTGCTTGGGTGGGGGTCCTGGGGAACACCACCAGAGCTGCAAGGGTGTAAATTGGGGTTAAAATGTTCAAGGGAAAGGTCAGGGATGATGGGAGAAGGTGGGAATGAGCTGCTGCAAGTGGGGATGGAGATATGAGAAGGGCGGAAATGGGGTGATGGGGCCGTTCCCCGATTGAGTGGAGGCCTCGAGGCAGCTTTGGCCGCCATTTCAGCAGCCAAACCATCCCAAATCCTGCCAGGATGGGGAGGACGGGTGGCTTCGCCCCCCAAAACCAACAGGGAGGACATGAGGGACAGGAAGGRCCTCAGGCCCTGGGTGTCAACCCCTTCCCACAGGAATTGGAGATAGGATGGCTCTGAGAGCACTTTTAGGGGCTTAGGATTCTTTTTTAGGGGGTCCCAGGGTGCTTTTGTGGGATCCAAGGGTGCCAGAACCCTTTTTAGGAGAATCCCCAAGCCTTAGGATCCCCTTTTAGGGGATCCCTTTCCCTCCATCCCGCTGGGTGGAGGGGCAGCATCCTCCACCCATGACAACCCTGTTGGGGACTCCCCAGAACCCCCAGTTCTTCCCATCCCAGGGAGGTGGCAGCTCCCCAACCCCCAAATCRGTGCCTTCACCACCCCAAGGTCCCAAGAGAGCGGCAGAAAGGGCCAGGATGGGGACAGTGACGTACCTTGTGCAGGTGCCATGGCAGAAAGAGCCACCGAGAGCAGGCAGAGCCACGCCATCCCATCAGCAGGGCAGCCCCATGGAATTGGGGGATCTGGGATTCAGGGGGTCCCTGTCTCAGCAGGCTGGGGACACGTCTTGGCCATGTCCCCGTGCTCYGGCAGCCCCAGGAGTGCGGCGGAGGGCAGGAAGCCAGCTCAGCGCTGCGGGGCGGAGGAGGGTGGAGGAAATGGGGAGGAAATGGGGTTTTGGGGACCACGGAGACCCTGCSGGCCACGGGAGCCTTGTGGGTCTGGTGCTCCCACCCTGGGGAACRCGGATCTGGTGGAGCCACCTCGATGTGCAGTTCCTTTGTGTCGCCAGCTCGTGGATTTGGGGTGGTGGCAGCGGTGGCACAGGGGGAATTTTGGGGTCTCCTGAGCTGTGGGAGCTCCGTGGGGCGATGGAGAAGAGCCAAGAGTTCCCCTCTTCTCTATGTTTTTTGGAGTCAACGTTACCTGCACCTCCACATCTTGAGCATCTTTTAGCACATCCAGGACCACCCCAGGACCCTCCAGGAGTATGAGGTGAGGGATAGGGCTGGCATTTCCATAGGTGGGAGGTAGGACATCCCAAGAAATGTTGATCCCTCCTGTGGGTGAGGGCTGGGATCCAGCCTGGGGAGCCGGGATGCTGGGAAGAGGGGACAGGACACCAGTCATCCCTTCTCAGCCTGGTTTTGGGAAGGTTTGGGGAGTTGGGAGCAGGGTGATGGATCTCCTGCTATCACCCAGGGTGACTTGGGGGTGTTTAGGGATTGCTGGGAGAAAGTGGGAAGCTGAAAGGGTGATACCCCTAAACAAAGGGATGTGTTGGCCAATTCCCATTGCTGAGGGGATATTTGGGAATGTCAGCGCCCAGCCAGGGGGAGGAACGCAGGACCAGCCTGGTGGTGGGGCTGGGAAGGTGGAGGAGGAGGATGGCAGGAGAGGGAGGAAGGAGATCCCTTATCCCAAGGTGACCCCAGCTGGGCCAGGGCCAGGCTCAGCCCTGGATCCAATCCCGTGACCAGCTCCCACATGGAGCCAAGGTCAAGGGCGTGTGCCCATTCCCAAGAGCCTGGCACTGCCATGGGGGCAGGGTGGGACCCGGTGTCAGGATCAGAGGAGATGGCACGGGAGCAGGGATCCCAATTGTTTGTTTTTTTAAATACTTTATTTTTGTAACAACGTCAGAATTAAAAATTTTCCATAAATACCAGCCCCTGGTAGCCCCTTCCCGGACTTTCCTGGTAAAAAATGTGTACAAAACAGATGCGTGGCCGGGGTGAAGGTGGGGGGGATATGGGATCCTCCCCGGGATCAGACCACAGGAATCATCACCACCATCATCATCATCACCACTATGAACACCATGTCGTAATGAGACCCAAAGCAGTAAGAGAACCCCAAATTCCTCCTCCCTGGTGCCACCAGGATCCAGCCGCCCCAAGGACGGGGCTGGGAGACCCCCCCCTCACCCTCTGTGGGCACCTTGGGGTGGTCCCAGAAAGCCAGAAGTGGGCAGGGGGGTTCGGTTTCCCCCCAGCGCAGCACGGGGAGGAGGTCAGGCCCTTACTGGTTTGCCCGGGAACTGGGRGGGTCCGGGAGTCACCCTCCTGGGGTCAGGAGCTGCCACGGATCCTCTCCATGTAGCTCCGGAGCTCCTCGGGATCCCGCAGCCCCATGTCCTCGCACACCCAGCGGATGTCATCCTCGCTGGCCACCAGGATGGACTGGACGTGGGGGGCAGGCGGGGGGGGCTCCTCGGGGGCGCGGGGGGGACCGAAGGTGACAAACTCCACCCGCTTCCTGCGGCCGCCCCCCGGAGCCGATCCCTCCTTGCGGGGCAGGGGCGCTCCGGGGGCCGGGGAGCCGGGGGGAGCCCCCTCCTCACCGGAGCCCGGGGGACCCCCACAGCCGCAGGGGGGGCCCGGGGATGCCGGCGGTTCTGGCTGCCGCCGATCCAGCTGTGGCCGATCCAGCTGTGGCCGATCCAGCTGCTGCCGATCCAGCTGCTGCCGATCCAGCTGCCGGCTCAGCTCCTCCTGGTCGGTGCCCAGCCAGACCCAGTTGTGGGGTTGGGGGGCCGAGGGGGCCCCGGCCGGCTCGGGCAGCTCCTTCTGCTGGTACCGGAGCACGAAGAAGATGCAGTTTACGAGGAAGATGAAGATGGCGAGGCAGAAGACTCCCAGGAGAACGTACATGCCGATTTCCAGGTCAGTCACCCGCTCCGGAGCCTTCACTATCTCCTCCTCTTCCTCCTCCTCCTCTTCCATACCGGCACGGTTGCGACCATATCCTTCCTCCTCATCTTCCTCCGAGGAAGACCCCTGGAGCTTGGTGGCTGCCGGCCTCACGCCGGCGGGGTCCCTGCGTCCCACGGTCACTGCTTCCCCGGACATGGCACCCTCGGCCCGCGGGAAGGGCCGGGGGCTCCCCGGAGAGGGGACATCCACCTCGAKCCAGGCGGTGCCGGTGGCCAGAGCGGCCGCACGGTGCCGGCCACGACGGCACAGATCCGGGGGGTGCAGGCTGAGCTGGAGCAGAGCCCCTCGGCCCGGCCCCTCGGCCACCACCCACGGGTGCGCAGCAGGGACCCCGGGGGACCCGCCCACGGTGGCGATGGCGCGGTCCAGGGATGTCACGGTCAGGGACACGTCGTGCCACCCGTAGAGCTCCAGCGGGGCCAGCGTGCGGTCGGAAAAGGACAACCAGACGGACAGCGTGGCTTCCTGGAGGGATGACAAGCGGGTTGGCAGAGGGTTGGGGGACACTGGGGACACCGAGGTGACCCCCACCCATCTCACCTGCTTGAGGGCCCGTAGGGTGGGTGTCCCCAGGGCGGTGACGGTGACCACGCTGGGGTGATCCAGCTGTGTCCGGAGGGATAAGGAGAGCCCAGCCACCACCTGGGCACGGAGCTCYGTCACTGTCACCTTCTCCTCGGACACCACCAGCGTCTGCTCCCCCAGGATGGAGTCGGAGAGCGGGGAGCGCACCTGGAATCACCTTGTGAGTACCCCAACATTCCTCACGGCCCCTGTGTCCCCTTCCCATCCTGTCCCCAACCCTCCAGCCCCCCAGTTCCCTCCCTCCCGGTATCCTGCCCAGCTCGCTCTGGGATCATTTCCAGCCTCCCAACTCCATCCCTGCAACCTTTCCACACCCCCAAATCCCYCCAGGATCCCCCAAAAGCACCCCCYTTTACCTCCACRGAGGTGACTCCMGGCTCCCGACCCACCACCACRGCCCCYGCTTCCAGCGAGGCCACRCGCGGGTCCTGGACACGRGTCTGGGCGGCCACCAGGTGGGTGACATCCAGGAGCCACTCGGGGCCAGGCAGGTAGGACAGGTGCCGGCCACCATCCAGGGGGTGGGCCACGAAGTGCGCCAGGACACGGAGCCCCGTGCGCTGGAACTGGGGCCGGCAGCTCCGTGCCCGCCGCTCCAGCTCCTCTGCAGGGTCCTCAGACTCTGCCACGGCACTGGGGACAGGGACAGAATGACAGGGATTGTGGGACAAGGTCACAGGAGTGCCACATGCGAGTTGGAGATCAGAGTTCTAGGATGGGGTGACAGGGATTGCAAGACACGATGACAGGGATTCTGGGGAGRGGTGACCAAGATCCCAGGGCAGAGGATCCTGGGACAAGGTGACAAGGATCTCAGAACAGGATGACAAGAATCCCAGGACACGTAGGGGTTCAGCGATGCATCCCCACACATCAGCTCTCCACCCCATTCCCATCCCCCCATTCCCATCCAGCCATTATCAGCTCTCCACCCCATTCCCATCCCCCTTTTCCCCACCATCCCATTCCACAGGAATTCCTCACCTGTCAGGACCGCCGGGCAGCCTCCAGCCGCGGAGCTGCTCCAGGACAGGATCTCCCAGCTGGACACGGAGCGGGAGCAGCGGAGCCCACACGGAGAAGCTCAGCTCCGCCCGCAGCCGGCGCGCCCAGAAATCCACACGGGCCCCCCGCGCCCCCCGGCTCTCCTTGCCCCCCACGAACACCAGGTCACAGGAATCCGACACCTGCAAGGGCACGTGGAATTCCATGGGAATCTCTCAGGAGAGGTGGGATAACGCGGGGACAGCGGGACTCACCTGCAGCACCTGCTTGTCAGCGGATTCACATCCCACGGGATCCGTGAGCTCGGACACTCCACCCCCCGCTTCCACAGTCACCAGTTTCACCGGGATAAGGCGGGGGATCCCAGTCAGCGGCGCTGTGTTCAGGATCTCCAGCTCCTGGAAGCACAGCGGGATGTGAGCGGGTGCTTCCCATGGGATGGGATGGGATGGGATGGGATGGGATGGGATGGGATGGGATGGGATGGGATGGGATGGGATGGGATGGGATGGGATGGGATGGGATGGGATGGGATGGGATGGGATGGGATGGGATGGGATGGGATGGGATGGGATGGGATGGGATGGGATGGGATGGGATGGGATGGGATGGGATGGGATGGGATGGGATGGGATGGGATGGGATGGGATGGGATGGGATGGGACGGGATGGGATAGAACGGGATGACCTAATGTTCTGGTTTGAAAGAACTCAAATAGGAGCAAAACCCTACCTGCACCAGCGGGACGAGGGCACGGACATCCCGCTCCGACACCTGGATTTCCCAAACCAGTTTGTCCTTCTGCGCCTCGGGATCCTGGCCGGGATACTCCACCTGCCACGTGAGGGGCCGTGCCGGTGCCAGCCCCCCCGTCCCGTTTTCCACAGCCACATCCAGGTGCAGGAACGCGGCCGGCTCAGACASCCTGCGGCACCACACCGGGATCAGGGTGGAACAGTCTGCAATTCCCACCGGGATGGGGATGATGGGATGTTCCCTACCTGGAGCTGTCAGGGATGGCAGGGATGTCCCTGAGTCGCCGGCAGGTCACCACGGCTGTGGAGTGCTTGGGACCACGGGAACGCTCCAGGTGCACGCTCCAGGTGCCAGGAATCAYGGGGCGGGCAGAGAGCACCTGCAGCCCCTTCTTGGCCTTGATCCTGTGGGGACASGYRGTGTCACACRGTGTCACATAGTGTTAAACTGTCCYAYGAGGTCAGATGGTGTCACACATTGTCCCACAGCGTCACTCGCAACCACATGGTGGTCACTCACTGTCGCTAAATGTCACACAGTGTCAAAGAGTGTCACAAAATGTCAGCTGGAGTCACACAGTGTCAGATGGTGTCAGACAGTGTCCCACAGTGTCACTCAATGTCACCTGGTGTCACTCACGGTCATTAAATGTCACACTGTGTCTGATACAGTCAGATGGTGTTACACAGTGTCAGATGATGTCACACCATGTCACTCAGTGTTACATGGTGTCAAAYGTTGTCACACAGTGTCACATACTGTCACAGAGTGCCACACACCATGCAATATCACATTGTACCACAGTGTCACACACAGTCACACGCTGTCACACAATGTTACACACTGTCACACAATGCCACACAGTGTCACACAGTGACAGATGGTGTCACACACTGTCACAGTGTYGCTGTCAGATGATATCAGATGGTGTCAAATGGTGTCATTTACAGTCACACAGTGTCACCCACTGTCCCACCCTGCCCGTGTCCCTGTTGTCCCCACTCTCACCGCAGGGTCAGGCTGTCAGCGGTGAAGTTGTGGTGCAGGGCGATGGTGGCCGTGAAGCGCTGCCCGGGCCGCAGGGGGACATTGGGGACACGCAGCAGCACCTTCTCATCCAGCCGCACCTCCTGTCGCCGCTCCGGCTCTCCTGCCCGCAGCTCCAGCATTCCCAGTACCCTGGGAGCCTCCCGCTCCCGGCCCCCGCACTCCCCCACGCTGTAGCGCAGCTCGGCTGGTTCTGAGCGCTCCGGAGCCTCCGAGGGGTCGGAATCCCGCCGGCGGCTCCGGTGGGAATGCAGGGATCCCAGGGAGAACCAGCGCGGGGGGATCTCCAGCTCCACCACGCACACACCCAGCGGGGCCTGGAGGAGACAGGGAATACTGGATTAGAGTGGGGGGGAGTTGGGGGATCCCCAGAGGTCCCCAGGGTGGCACTGACCTGCAGGTGACACGTGCCCCGGGCCACCCGCCCGYGGTGGTGGGCGTGGAGGGTGACACAGGGGAGATCCCGAGCTCCGGAGTGATCCCAGTCCCCTGCAGCATTCCAGTTCCCAGGGTGGCTCTGATGCACAGGGTGGTCCCGGTCCTTGGGGTGGTCCCAGTTCTTGGGGTGGTCRTGGATCCCAGTGTGGTGCCGGCCTTTGGGGTGATCCTGAACTCCATGGTGGTCCCACTGTTCAGGGTGGTCCTGGTCCCTGGGATGGTCATGATCTTCAGGGTGATCCCCCTTCCTAGGGTGATCCCGGACCCTAGGGTGGTCCCAGTCCTTGGGATGATCCTGAACCCTGGCATGATCCTGCTTCCCAGGCATCCAGTCGGGCCCTTGCAGATGGAAGAGGACACGAGCCACGGGCTCGGCGGGGGACACGGAGCTCTCCAGAGACACGGCACGGACGGCCCAGGCTGCCGAGCCGGGGGGACTCTCCACGGGCACCTCCTGCAAGGACACCGGGATGGCAGTGAGGACTGGGACACCCTGGGGTGGCCCAGGGCACATGGGGTCCTGCTTACCTGGCGGGTGCTGAACGGGGGGTAGGTGGCCTGGACCAGGGGTCGGGATCCRGCACGGAGCAGCAGGAACGTCTCAGAGCGGGTGTGCAGGGAAGAGTTGGGGGGCACGTCCTGGTCCACTCGCTGCAGCCGGTAGGACTCRGGCACCCCAAGGACTTCCAGCTCCGCTGGCAGGAACACGGGATCCGGAGGGTCCCCGTCACCCCTTACTGCAAGGACAAGGATGTGTCACATCCCACAGGGACACAGGTGGGAATAGAGTGCACTGGGGTGACAGGTGGGGGTCTCTGTGCCCACCTTTGTGGCACCACRCAGGGCCATTCCATTCTGAAGTAACCCCATGCCATGGTTGCCCCATCACAGGGTTATTCCACCCCTATAGGATAGGGGCCTACGGGGTATGATCCCTACATCAGGACCGGGGGGCCCACTTGGTTCTCCCAGCCCCGGCTGTTCCCTGTGGGAATGCATTCCCCACGGGCAGAGGGCTGGAACCGCATCCTGCAGGGTGGGATCCAGGCTCGTGGAGCCCTGATCAAAGGGATCCCTTATCACAGGGAGCAGATCGCACCTGGATGCCCGGGCAGGTCTTCCTGACGGCCGGGAATTGATACCGCCTGGGCGATAGGTGTGCGGGGAGAGAGGCGAGGCARACCCCCGGATCCGGGGGGAAGGGGAGTCCTTAGGGCGGCGCGTTCCCGTGGGGATTGTGAGGAAATTCCCCCCTCGAGATCCCACGGATCTCACGTTCCCCGCTCGGGATACCAGGCGGTGGAGGGGGCGCGGAGCCCCGCGCAATGTGGGGGGCGCGGATCCCAGCAACGCGAATGCGAGGAAGGAGAAAAGGAGGGTCAGGTCTTCCCGGTTTCCCGGTTTCCCGGTGGGAGCGGATCCCCGCGGAACGCAGAGACCCCGAACGCGGGGGGAGAATCGCCCCGGGTCGTGGGACCACGCGGGACCATGCCGGCGGGACGGCGGTGGGGGCTGGGGAACGGTGTGGGTGCCGGTGGCCGGTGCCGTTCCCGGTGCCKTTCCCGGGTGCTGCTCCCTGCGCCGTTCCCACTCACCCGGGGCGCAGAGCAGGGCGGCGGCCAGCAACGCCAGCCGGGCCGCCGGGGCCATGGCCGGGGGCTCGCTCCGTCCGCCGGTGCCGCC